AATCCTTTACGGTCAACCGTTCGTGGTCAACTAGATCTACATAAATTTTAAGCCGTAAGTTCTCTACGTCAAACCTTTAGATTCGCTGCGCGTAGGTTTATGTTTGCTATTGAATTCGTGACTTGTATATAACGAGATCCACACAGATCCCAACAAGTGGTACCAGAGCACTTGGTTAATTCGTTTTGTATAAAGTTCGAATTTTTACGGCTTTATTTGACAAGATGTGTTAAACCGCAGCCATATATTGGATTATATTTGCATAACTCGGTTTTGCACGATAGATAGTTAATCCACTATTATGGCCGACTATGTGTTTGATGAATGTTGTTGAATGTGATGTATGGTTTTAAATTTGTTTTTAAAGCTTCGGACATGTCGACGAATTTATGGATGAATGTTTGTCATAATTTTTTGCCCGGGGGTTGACCGGATAGATTTAATTAATTGTTTAGAAAACATGTACATCCCTTCGTTGGATCTAGGATCGAATTATATAATTTTTTCAATTATATTTTTCGTGTTATGATCGTGTGTTGATGACCGGGAGATCACAATAAGATCAACGAGCCTCAATGAATAATAAAAAAAAAATCAGCAATTTCCGACCACCGGCGGCGGCGGCCAGACGGCGGGTGGTCGTGGCTGAGGTGGAGAGGTTTACTTGATGTCCAAGCAGTACAAGATCAACCAGGATTCTACTGCTTAAAGGAGTTTCAGTTTAATAGGGAAAGAACTGTCACAGTTTCCTTGTTTAAGGAGACTCAATTTTTAATAATGGCCATAATAGTGGATTTATTTATTTATTTATTTAAATTTATTATGCCATTAAATTATTATTTATACATGTTAATTAGTTATGTTCTTTCATGAGATTAATTTAGTATTGCGAAATTAATTATGCATGTTAATTTATTATGTAATGCATAGAATTAATTTGGAATTGTGTCAATAAATTATGCATGTAATTAATTATTCCACTAACATGGATTAATTTAGACTTGCATAAATTATTGAACATGTTAATTAATTATTGCATTGACATAGATTAATTTAGAATTACATGAATTAATATGCATGTTAATTAATTATTGCATTAACATAGATTAATTTGGAATTGTATAAATAGTTAAAAATCCTCATTAAAACTAAGTTTGAGAAGGGATTTAAAATTAAAGTTAATTGTAAAATTCCTAAGGCCTCCATTTCTAATTTGTCGGTAAATCAATTAAGCTACAGTAATGGGCTCCCCCTCGGGTGACATTGCTAAAATTTAATTGTAGGTAATTACCAGGACAAATTTCTAATTAGACGGTTAAAGGAAATCTTATGAGAGTGTACGAGCTTCCCCTCGGATGACGTATAATCAAATTTGACGACCTTAGGACCGAGAAATGGGATTCACTTAGAATGCGATTTATCTATAAACTCCCCACGGGGTCCCTGGATTTATTGCATGGCTAAATGGAGACCAACTATTAATTTCATTCGTCATGAATTTGGTTTTGACTTATGGAAATTAATGGGCCTTTGAAAATCCCTTCTCTTACAAAATGCGAGTTTGTAGGGCGATCCACGTAGCATGCATTCTCACGAGGTGTAATAGATGTCGATGAATTTAAGTTAATATTGTTTTGATGATATCAATAATGGCAGTTAAATTCAAAAGTGTTTAATCTGTAAAAATATTTGCATGATTCTCAAGATATTCATTTTAGCGACCCATTCGATTTATAGAATTTCTTGGATTATTCTATTTATCGAATTTTATTTATAAGTTTATATTTATTTGATTGGTCGCGATGTCGACTTGAATTTTATGTGGAAGTACTCGATCGTTTGGATGTAAAATGTTCGTCGTTCGGCGATTTCAGTTCGAATCTAAGTCGTTCGATTCTTGAATTTTATGTGATTAATTGGAATTTATGTGATTACTTGGTATTATTATTAATTTGGGTTAATTATTATTTTGCTCGTTAAACCCATCGTATTACATTGTCTTTAAGATGATGTAATGTCTCGTTCGATTTAATTTAGTTAAGTCGTTTGAAAATTCGGTTTAACTCGGACCAAGGATCGATTTTTATCTTAGCATCTTGACGAAACCGAGCCAAAGTCAAACTGGGGTCAAACCGGACACTTAGAAATATTTTCTAAGTCTGACCCTAAAAAGTANGGAAGGTTAGGGCGACCCCAGCCCTATTTAAACCCTTCTTTCCCCCTCCCCAAGACTTCCAAACACTCCCCCACTCCTCCAAAACAGCCGCCACCTCCTCCCCTCTCAAAATTCTGATCGGTGCGCCTCCCACGACCGCCCGGCGTACCCGCGTACACCGCACCGCACCCCGGCGACCTGCGAGCAAAAACCAATGACAAATCCTTGCACTCCAGCCCCTGTTCAAACAATTCACGACCAGAAAGGAGCAGCCATCATCGTTCGAGGCCATTGGAGAAGAATCTAGCCCCGGCGATCCGAACCCTAGCAGTCGAGCCACCCCGCGAGCACAACCAAGCCTCCGAACCCTTTTCTTTGTACTTTTAAGTGCAAGGACCCTGAGAACGGTACTTGATGGTTGTAACCTCTCATAATTTCAGGTTTTATGATTTATATAGCTCTGGTCCTTTGAGTTTAATGCGGATTCGTTGGAATTATATGATAATATGGCGATTTATTGAATGTTTGATGTGAAATCGTGTTGAATCCTTTATTAGTTCGTGAACTCCTGAGGATATTGGAACCTAGGATCGTCCTTAATCATTTTAAAAAGGTTTCAGATGATTTGGTCGAGTATAAATCGGGTTTCGGATGTTTGAATCCGATCTAGTCTTGGAATTTTGAAAAATTGAGATCTTATAAACTACTGGGGATTTTAATCTGAAATTTTAAAGGATGATTCCTGTGTTAGAATTTCAATGAAAAACTCGATCTATAACCTGATGAACCGAGTGTTTCAAATTCTGATTAGAATATTGAAAATTTAATATAAAATCGAGTTTTGATTATTTTGATTTGAATTTATGGGATTTGTAATATTTTAGTTTGATCTTTCTTTTGTCCAAATTTCGATTGAAATCTCGATCGTTTCCCTAGGGAACTTGAAAAACCCTAGTTTTGATCTTATTTTGCAAAAATGAGTTAACTGGGTTAATTAAATTTTTAAGGGTTGATCTCTGGTGAAAGTATGTGTTTTTAAGTCTATTTCAATGTGGTAAAATTTCGTAAAGTTTGGTCGAGTCGATTTTAAAAAGGTTCGGTGCTTTCATTTTGCTGTCTTTTTTACCCCGGGTCTGTGCCCTATGTGCCGCCCGTGCCATCCGCGCGCACTGACCGCCTCTACCGGGGGCCACCCGTGCCCAGAGCACTCCAGCGTCGCCCAGGACCCCGCGGTGGCCATCAGCCGTGCCCAGCGCGCCCCTGCATTGCCCAGCGACCCCAGCGCCATGTATTGCGCCGCCTGGACCTAGGCCCATGCCAGATGCACTCAGTCCGTGCCCCAGCGCGCCACCATGACTCGGCCCGTGCTAGACTGCCCGGCTGTAGCTCGACCGAGCCGACCCAAGCCCGAACCCGGTCCTTTGATCTCGTTGAACTATTTTTCCGATTTTACCGAACCTGTTGACTTCTGTTGACCTGTTGGACCATGTTTGACCTTGTTTTTCATGTCGAGTCGATTTTAAACATTTTTAAAATAAAATCCCGAGTCTAACTTTTAAAACCTAGTGTTTCAACTTCCACAGAACTTCACGAACTGCTTAGTAGAAAATGTTCGGCTAAGCATGATTATTCGTGAGTCTATTCTAAGGGTCAAGATAAGATATTTATGAAATTATCTTGACTAAATGTAGGTGTTTGACGAGTCGATCTCGCAGCCTACATAGCAGTTCGGTGATATCCCATTCTGTGGAACCAGGTGGGTTTTATTAAAATGGTCTATGCAAAAAATTGTTTGCTTTATTTATGTATGATCAATGTATGCATGTGAACCATATAGCCTTCGATGTGAGTTGTACCGGCCGTCGAACGGTTATCCCCGAAGCTATAGAACGTACCTGTTGGGTAATCTCCTTTTGGGAACCGTAAGACCTGGGCATGGGCGTTGGCTGGTGACCCCCGTTTTAAGACCAAGGCGAGGTCTTGGCCGGCGGGGTGGTCTACCCCTACTGACTAGGGGATCGATAGAAGCCCGAGGGGCATTCGATATTTTACCCAATAGTAGTCTATGCGTAGGTGTGCACATGAGTCTTGATCTTATGACGATATTATGATGGGAGATTGGGATACTTAATTGTTTCATGTACATGTTGCGATCATACTATTCATATTATGATTATCGTTTATTGCATAGTGGTGAGCAATACGTTTTCCATATGTGCTCACTCCCACCTGAAATTAACATTTCAGATTGAGCAGGGCAGGCATGACGACGGGAAGGAGCGAGTGGTGGTCGGTCTTTATGACCCGATTATTTAGTAGTTGCTTCCGCTATTTATGAACTGATTTTATGATTTTATGAAATTGTGAACTCTGGGATTTTAAGATGTGTTGAAATAATGTTGGGAAGATGCCCCGTGAACACTGTGATTTTGGGAACCCGTTTTGGGTAAAATGATGATTTATGATTTTATGAATCCCGATTTGGGGAGTTGATGTTCAAATTGATGTTATGAGATGATGATTGATGTTGAAATTAAGTGAGTAACGCCACAAGTTTTTTGAAATGAAATTCAAAAATTAAATTGATTTTTCTGATAGCCATGGATTTTCATTAAATCAAAGTGGGGCGTTACAATCTCTCACCTCTGTTTTGAAGCAACTCTTAAACTTATCTCTCACTCCCAACCAACTACTCCACAACCAGGAAGCATTATAGCCTTTCTTTGCTTCAAGAAGAGATGATTGAGGGAAATACTAACATATTCGGTTTAGTAATGATCCTCCAGAGCTGCTTGATTGTTAGTGTCTCATTAAAGAGCTTTATATCCTTGAAGCCCAGGACACCCTATTCTTTAGACAAAATGATGATCTTCCATGCTTTCCAATGAAGCCCTTTGATATGTTTGTCACCCTTACTCCACCAGAACTCAGCACACATCCTGGCTAGTTCCTTGCAAACACCCTTAGGTAGACAAAAACATAACATGGAAAAAACAGAAAGAGCATCAGTCACAGCCTTACTTAGAACCTTCTTTCCTGTAGCAGATAAAAAATTATTCTTCTAGCTCACAAGTCTGTTTCTCACTGTGTTCAACACATAAGCAGAGGGTTCCCTTTTAGTTTTCCCTATTCCCTGTGGCTACCCAAGATATTTTGTAGAGTGCTGAACGGAAATTCTCTGCAATAACTGACAAATTTGATGTTTCAAAGTATCAGAAGTATTTTTACTGAAAGAAAAAATTGAAGACTTCCTTAGGTTCACTTACCAGTAACATTTAGATAGGCAGAGAGCATAGAGATAAATAGTTGAGCTTGATTACACTCTGCCTCATAAAACACTAAGGAATCATCTGTAAAAAGTAGATGAGTGAGTAGGGGACCTCCTCTAGCTAGCTTAATCCCTTTGAAATGACCCCTATCCACCTCAGACCTGATTAAACTATAAAAAATCTCAGAAACCAGAATGAATAAGTCAGGTGGCAGTGGGTCACCTTGTCTAATCCCTCTAATAGCCTTAACATACCCTTGAACTTCACCATTCAGATTGAAAATATGCTACAGAAGAAATACAAGTAACTATCCACTTAACAAAGGTACTATGAAAACCCATCCTAAGCAGGATCCTCTGAACACAAGGTCATTCAATCCTATCATAAGCTTTCTCCATGTCTAATTTGATAGCTATATACCCAATTTTTCCAGATCAAAGTGGACAACCTCTTGAGCCACAATGACATTATCAAGCAGCCGCCTTCCAGGGATGAAGACAGGTTGGTTCTCACTCACACAAGAATTCAGACATTTTTCAACCTCCTAATCAAGATTTTAGAAATGACTTTGTATGTGACCCCACACAAGCTTATAGGTTGATTGTAACGCCCCACTTTGATTTAACGACAATCCATGGCCTTTCAGAAAAATCAGTTTAATTTTTGAAATTCATTTCAAAACATTTGTGGTGTTATTCATTTAAAATCAACATCCATCGACATACCCATAGCATCAATCATAAAATTCAACTCCCAAAATGGGTTCATAAAATCATCACTTACCTAAGCCGGGTTTCCATAAAATTTTCACGGTGTCATAGGGGCAACTCCCCCAACATTTTGTCAATAATCATAAATTCTCAGAATTTATAAAATCATAATATTGTGAATCGTTCATAGATAGTGGAAACAATAAACAAAAGTCTGGTCATATAAGCCAACCACCACTCGCTTCTCTCCGCCGTCATGCCTGCCCTGCTCAATCTGAAATGTTAATTGTAGGTGGGAGTGAGTACATATGGAAAAACGAGGTGCTCACCACTATGCAATAATCACAATAATATCAACTGGTACGATCGTAGCATGTATATGAATCAATCAAGTATCCCAAATTTTCATCATAAATTCACAGTGTCAAGACTCATGTGCACACTTATACAAATAGACTACTACCGATAGACTTATCGAATGCCCTCGCTCAGGTCTTACATCGAATGCCTCTCGGGCTCTACGTCTATACCCCTCGGGCTTGTACACCGAATGCCCCTCGGGCTTCTATCGATGCCCAGTCAGTAGGAGTAACCCCTCGGGTTTCATTTCATAAATACGGGGACAACCGTTCGACGGCCGGTAAAGCTCACATCGAAGGCTACATGGTTCGCATGCATACATTGATCATACCACATGTAACGCTACAATTTATTGCATAGCATATTTCAAATAAAACCCACCTGGTTGGAAGCAACAAATATCATGAAAACACGAGTAGGCTGAGAGCTCGGCTCGTCAAACACCTACAATAATTAAGAGGGCCCTATCAATAACTATCCGACCCATGCACTATCTAACTCATGGCATTTACGATTCATGTCAAATACACTTAGATAAATTCAGCCCATATAAGTCATATAAGCAAGCATTAAATAGATAAATTTTATTTTCGAAAGCACCACATGAATTTTCAAAACATAACCCACGCAGTGATTTTGAAATCGACACCACTTGCAGCACATAAATCATATTAACCTGATTCCAGTTGCATATGAATCATAAGACATGCCTCTACAATTATTATGAAGACATCAAGAACAAATAAAGTCATCTACCAGAAGATTATTCATAAAACATTTAAAACCGAGTTGCAGACCACAATTTAAATTTTAACAGCTGACAGGACCTCAGCATTTGCAAGATAAATGAAGCTACAGACATGCTTTTAAGGGGATTCAAAAACCAAAATGCAGCTAACTCAATTATCTATAACTTGGATGAAGACCCTATTGGAAAATAATGATGTTATCAAAGAGTTAAAACACAAAATACTCGATTCATAAAAACTGCTTGAAACCAAAACAGGATACAAACAGCACCTCAGAAAATTGTCTCTAACTCATGCTACAGACCATCAAATTACTTGACTCAAAAACCTATGGACAACCAATAAGTAAGGCTACAATTTTCATGATGACCATGTTTCATTTTGAGTACATCTAGACATCGAAAACAAGACATACATAAAATAAATACAAGCTGCCGGGTTTTATTAAAAACTGTTTGCGCGACAATTTTGTAAAAATCATAACTCCCTCGTTTTAAAACGGATTTTCAAAATTCTAAAACTTAATGAAAGACAACAGGATATGATACATTTCATATGAAGATCACATCCTCATAAAACGACTACTTCAGGGCCATTACAGCATTACAACAAAGGCCATAAAAATCACGATTATCATAACATGTGATTTACAAACCTCATGATTTCACAAAACACCATTTAAACATCACCAACCTCATCACATCTCATGTATAACATGAATTCAACATCAAACTCAAAGACAATACATATATCATACGAATCCGAGCAACTCTAACAAACGAGACCCTAACATAAAATCATGAGAGAACTCTTATATACTCACATATCAACACATATATACTCGCGTAAAATAATAGGGTTTAAGCGCCGGATACCGTTCCCGGGAAAACGCATGACAAAGATCAAGAGAAAGCCGAGACAGGCTGTTTGGGATCGGTCGCGCGTGACGGGCTCGACAACTCCGCGTGGCTCGCCGGTTTGCGTGGAGGAGCAGCGAGGGGTGGCTCGTGGTGGCAGGGTGCGTCTGCCGGTGGTCGTGATCCTTCACGGTGACGGGGAAGGTGATGTCGGTTCTTTACGGTTCACGCGAGAGACAGGGCTGTGTCTGCCGGTTGGGGATCCTTGCTCGTGAGGGAACGACGACCTCTGGCTGCTTATGAACGGCGGCTGGTGGCCGGAAGGGGGTCCTGCGCGCGGAGGAAAGGAAACGCCGACAGAAGTTGATAGCCGGTTGCGGGATTTGCGGCCTTCAGGTACTGCTCGCGGTGAGTGGTCGAGAGAGAAGGCTTCTTCTTCCTTCTTGCGATGAAGGGTGGTGGTGAGAGAGAGGGATCGCGAACAAGAGTGACGAGAAGGAGAGTTTCTCTTCCGTTTCTTCTTCTGCTTGCACGAGAAAGAGAGAGAGGAGAGAGATTTGATTTTTTTGCTCGCGCGATCGGGAGGTGTGAGATGAGAGAGCGGCGTGAATTTTACGAGAGAAGGGAGAGGCTTCAATTTAAAATAATACTTAGGGTAAATATTCTTGCCCTCCAAGCCATTGAGGAAACGGGTCGGGTCGAGGTTATTGGGCGAGGGTTCAGGGCGCGCGGGCCGGTTTCGACTACCGGTTTCTTGGGCTCGATTTATTTAGTCCGATAATATGTCCGATGCTTGGAAAAATAAAATACAACATCCGGAAAATTAAATAATTAATACAGTAATATATATATATATAAATATTCACACACTAATATATATATATATATATATATATGCAATGCAAGTCAATAACATCACTTTGGCATTTAAATAAAATAAATAAATATTTATGCAAATAAAAATATCCGATCGGGTTAGATCCAATTTACGCGATTATACAGAAATCGTCGAACGACGAACGCTGTACAATAAAACGATAAGTACTTACACTTATAATATAAGTAGATATCGCGACCAAAAATATAAACATAATTTCATAAATAACATTCGATGAATAGAATAATACGAGAAATTCTATAAATCGAACGGGGCGCTACATTGATAATTCTTAAGGAACTAAGGGTTTAAACATTTAGGAATAAGAGTGATGAGGGCGTGATTCTAATTTCTTAAAGTTTGACCAGATAATAAAAAAAAAAAAAACTAGATATAGCAGCACAAATATCAAATTTAATAAAATGCCCAAAATGTTGAAAGAAGCAAGGAGACATACCATCTTGCTCTGGTGCCTTTCCTGGATCTATACTAAACATTGCCTCTTTGACCTCCTTCTCCTCAACTGGTGCCACTAGTTCAAGGTTCATTTCAGGTTTGATTGAAGTAGGGATTAATTGCAGCAGTGCATCTCCTTCCATAGACCCTTCAAAAGTAAAAGGCTTATCATAGAAGTCACTGACACAATGCTCAATCCCAGTTTCAGACTCCCATACTTGACCCCTCTATGCAAGGCTTATCATAGAAGTCACTGACACAATGCTCAATCCCAGTTTCAGACTCCCATACTTGACCCCTCTATGCATCAATCAACTTAGTGATAACATTAGTTCTTCTCATTTGGACTGTTAAAATTTAATTTTGGAGTCTCCCTCCTTAATCCACTGTGCTCTGGCATTTTGGTTCCAATAGATTTCTTCCTCTCTGGTTATACTGTCCAACTCAACCTTAAGGTTATCCTAATCTTAAGGTTATCCTAATCTCTCCAATTTCTCTGATCTCGAGAAGTTTTTGAATTAATTAGACGTGAGTGTCTAATTTAATCATTTGGGATAATTAATTTATTTAAACGTTTTAGTCTATTTAAATTATGCAGAGAGAAAAGCCGAGATATTAGAATTTTTCCGTTTAGCGAGAACCAATTATTTAAGCCGTTTTCAGTGTCGTTGAAATTATTTTCTCGACTCATTAGAATTTTTCCGAGACCGAGTTTAAGCCGATTTCTAGTCTTATTTTTCGCCATTAAGCCGAGTGGAGTTCGGAAATTTTATTCCTTCCCAAACAAGGAATATGAATTTATTCCACATTATTATATAGAAAAACCCTCAGCTCACCTCCTTATTCATTCGCCGCAATTCCCATTCAGATATCTCTCTTCTCGTTCCAATCATCCCACAGATCACTTCCTTTCATCATCTCATCGCCATCACCAATCGCCGTAAGCCAGCCCTTAAATCGCCGGCGACTTCCCATCACCGAGCATTGTGCCGATGCCGTGGGAGTCCCTGCCAACTGCGCCCGTGCCTTTCCATGAGAGAGGAGGAGAAGTCCACGAGCAGCAGTGGAAGTCCTTGGCCATGCGAGAGGAATCCCGCATCCAAGCCCTCGACCGACCATCACCGAGGAGGAGACGCGAGAAACAGTCGCGATCGAGTAGAAAGACCCGTTCACGTCGAGCAGCGAGCCTTCGCGAGTGAACAACAGGCCGTACTTTCTTCTTCCATCATCGATCAATGACCTTCGAGTATTAGCATCACCTTGGAGCAATGCACGAGCAGCGGCCGAACAAGAACAACATCATCACACTCCCCATTGTCGTGAGTTGCAGCAGCCGAGGCCGAGTTTTGTCACGCCCGAGGCCACCCGACTTCAGTTTTTCATCCGTTTTTCATTCTAATCCCGAAGAAGGTATATGGATTAACCTTATTCGAATATTTAGAGTTCATTTTGAAAGCTTTCATATGGTTTAGGTTCATGGAGATGAGATACATTTAAATATCGAAAAATTCATGAGATTTAGAGTATTGTGATATGACAATTGATGTTGGACCTCGATTAGGACATCATTTTAGCCTCCGAAAACTAATATTTTTTATGTTTAAATGGGTCGGGATAATTGGTTTAAAGTTGTGGAAAAATCGGGATGAATTGTTGTCATGTTCGGAGCCTTGCCGGGTTTCAAAAAATTTATTTAAACGCTGAATTCCGAGGTTTAAACCAACAATATGGAGTCTAAATAACATGGTTTGTTGGTGTTTAAAAGGCCTTGCTATGTGTTTTAAGAATTGGGTATTTATATCCCAAGCTGAGCCTTTTTACTTTCGATAATTGAGAAAGAGATAGATGCAATTTTGATGAGTTAGAACCGCCATTTTTGCTGCTCTTAATACCAGGTATATATGAGTTTTAAGTGCCATAAGAAGTTGTTTGATATTTGAGTTAAAAGGCCTTAGAAGAATTTTATAAAAATGAGATTATTGCCAAATTATTGCTAGCCTTTATTTTCATGGAAATTTCATGTTATGGACTCCAATTTTTTTTTTTGCTGGTCGTAATGGGTAGTGTAAAGGGTGATCGCCGGGAATAGCCGTCACTCGGTGCCGAGCCTCTGTAGCCACAGACGTTGTGAGGCACTGGCCGCATGCTCGCTGGCGCCTCGTGCGCAGGCGGGCAGTGCGCCGCACATGCTTGATGAAGATCGCGTATCCCGACTTGCAGATAAGCCGCTCGCGCGCCTTGAGTCGCCGATAAGTGCTAATGCGCGCGCCGACGCCTTCGTACTTCGCGATAGGTGTGAAGAAAATCGGATGTTGGTCCTATTTCTAACACGATCTAGTTTGTAAACTCACAGGAGTAAACTCACAAGACAATTTTGAACAAGTGTTCGAGTTTTGTATTAATTCTTGAATGATTAAATCGAATGACAATAGTGCATATTTATAGAGGATAGACTAGTTCTAGTCCTACACTAACTAGAATCCTAATGCATAGAAATAAATAAAGTCCTAAGAAAACTAAATATCTAGTAAATAAAGACTTACCAAAACTACTAAGGCACATGCCTTTTATTCCAAAATCCTAACCAAACTAATAGTCCTATTAAGCTAATGAAATCGGCCCTTGGCCATTTAGAAGAATCTCGGTTCTTAGCTTGTGCGGCACTTCATCCGAACCCTAGCTGTCACCGCTAGTCCTTGTCCTTCTCGGTCTCGGGCCAGTTGCTCCCACGCGTCCCACGCGTCTTCTGCCTTGTGCCCCAAGTTGCGAGGATCATCCCTAGACGGCGCGGTACTCCTAGTCCTTCGAGGACTCGTGCTCGCCAGGCCCTGCGCGTCCCGCGCGTCCCTGTCCGCTGATGAAGATGCGGTCATTGACCCTTTCGGGCCCGAGGACGAGATACACTCGAACCATGCGAATAGGCGTACGAGGGGTAGGGACGACCACCGGGGCAATGAGAAGGTGGCTCAAGATGGTTGTGCGCGAGGAAATCGCGCGACACATAGATGTGCGACATGCATGGACCGCGTGACGAGGCACACGGGATCGGAATGCGCGGGTCAAGGTCGCGTGATGAAGGGCATGCGCGAGAAGGTCTGGCGACATGATGGGGGCATAACGAGAAGGTCGGGTGATTCACCTAGGACAAGCCGCGATTGCATCGACCACGCGATAGGCGATTGGGATCGGGGACGCGATTGGAAGACCCGCGAGAAGGGAGAGGCTAGAGTGCCGGGCACTCGCCGGCTGGGTGACGCGCGAATGGGTGAGTGCGCGCATGGCACGAAAAAGCTCACGCGGGGCGCGGGCGGTAACGCGCCGGACGCGCAGGAGCGGATGGGCATAAGTCCTCAACGGACTAGGCATAACACGCCGCCTAGGGTCGGATCACGCGACGTGGGGCACAAGGCAGAAGACGCGGGGGACGCGTGGGAGGCGATCGAACCCGAGACCGAGAGAGACAAAGATTCACGCACGACGGCTAGGGTTCGGGTGAAGTGTCGCGCAAGCGAAATGACGAGGGTCTTCTAGAAGGCTTAAGGGCCAATTCTATTAGCATGATTAAGGTTAATAGTATGGATAGGAATTCGAGTAAAAGGCATTTGCCTTAGTAGTTTTAGTAAGTCTTTATTTACTAGATATTCACTTTCCTTAGGACTTTAATTATTTCTGTGAATTAGGACTCCTAGTTAGAATAGGACTAGAACTAGTTTAGCTTCTATATATATACTCTATTGTCATTCAATTATATCATTGAAGAACTAATACAAAGAACCCGAACACTTGTTCAAATTGCCTTGTTAGTTTACTCCTGTGAGTTTACAAACTACGTGTTAGAAATAGGACCAACATCTGATTTTCTTTCAGACCTATCGCGAAGTACGAAGGCGTAGGCGCGCGTATTAGCACTTATCGTCGGTTCAAGGCGCGCGAGCGGTGTAGCGCCCCGTTTATTTGTGGATTATTTGGGAATTATTATTATTAATGATATCTATTTTTGTGATATTATTAATATTATTGTCGTTATTCAATGTCTAAATATTATTGTTTGCCTAATTGTAATTAATTGCCTAATTGTATATTTTTAATTATTAATATTATTATTTTAAAATAATGAATGTATTAAATAACTATATCCAGTTTTAATTTAATTATCGCTCTACCAACCGAGTTTAATGGTTATGTCGAGACCGAGGAAAACCGAAAACCCGCACGCCTAGCCGCATCGAGCATTATTATTTTTTCAGCCGAAAAGCGCTAATTATTCGGGCTAATATTTTCTCGGCCCTCTTGATCGAGATTTATCGGTCTTTTATTTATTTTGGCCTAATAGCTTAATTATTTTCGGCCCAATATCTAGCATTAAGTCCGGCCCATATGCAGGTAAATAATCTCAGCCCATAGCTCATTAAACCCTACGTCTCTAAGGCTACCTCCTTTCAAGGGCACCCGCAGACATTAGAATCGACTCTTTTTGTTTCTCTCTTCAGAAATTCCTCAACTCCTCTCGTCTCTCTCACGCAAAAATCAGAAAAGCCGCAGCCCTCAATCTTTATCTTTTCTCTCCTTCATCGCCCCATCTCTTCACCCTCTCGTTTTTCTGTTTTCCCGTCACGCGAATCACCATCATCACCTCTCAAGCTCGAAATCCGGCAACCTGCTCTCCTCCCGTATTGCATAGAATTTCCGGCGCCACCATCTCGCCGCCACGACCTCAGCAGCTCCGGCGATTCACGAGCAGCACGACCCCAAACATCCATCATCATCACCAGCAGGAGCCTTCCCTCACGCGCAGCACCACCGTGAGCCCTCCTCCGCCGCGGACGGCCACCCCTCCGCCATCACCACCGGTGACGACCACCGAGCGCCGCTGCACCTCCGGCGTCCGCGACAGCAGCCAGCCGACGTCACTTCTCTCGCCACGAGCCGTTTCCGACGAGAACCAGCCGTCAACTCCTCAGCCGTGAACCGTCGCAATGACCAGCGAGCTCCGTCGAGTTCATCCTCCGTCGCGCAGCAACCCAAGCAGCCGAGAACAGCTGCTGCTGCACCTCCTTTCCCGGTGAGACGCGAGAATCCGTCGAGCCGTCACCCCCGTTTGTGTCCTACGTTCCGTTTTTCCGAATGTTTCCAGAGAACGGTA